TTTATCGGTTTTAAACCTTAACTCGAACCATTTATTGTACCAAATACCAATCCGACTGATTCAACCGATCGATCCAATTCGATTTTTAAAACATTGAGTGGAAGTACAACCATCATTTAAGTAAGATTTTACTTGAATGATGGTTGTCTCTTACTTAAATGATGATTGTGATGAAATATTTTAAAATTTTTAATGTCATGATCTTTTAGTTTTTATTTTTTTAACCGTTCAGTTGAATGGTTTAATGATTTGTATTGGTCTGAATGATTTTATTGATTTTAAACGATTCAACCATTTTATCGATTTTAAATATTAACCCGAACTATTTATTGTACCGAATACTAATCCGACTAATTCAACCGATCAATCCGATTCAATTTTTAAAACATTGAGTGGAAGTACAACCATCATTTAAGTAAGATTTTACTTGACTGATGGTTGTCTCCTACGATGGTTGTCTCCTACTTAAATGATGATTATGATGAAGTGTTTTAAAAATTTTAATGTCATGATCTTTTAGTTTTTATTTTTTTATAATTATAAAATTATGTAATATTATAAATTTATAATACGATGTATTATTATATAATTAATTTTTTATTTAATAATTTATTTGTAATATTATATATTTACTCATTTAATAATATATTATATTTATTAAAAATTATATTATAATTATAAATTTATAATTTTATATAATATTATAATTATAAAAAACAATGAAACAAAAGAAAATTCATTAAAAAAAAGAAAGATAAAAATGAAATAAAGGACTACATGTTTTGATTTTACTTTCCGTCATTTTATCATGAGTAATATATTATTGTCATATTCTCAATTACTAATATTATATTTTTTATTTTAATTGATTATTATATTTTTTTAATTTATTAAAAAACATCAAAATATAGAATTTATAAAAAAATATAATATAAAAATATAATAAATAATTATATTAAAAATATATAATATTAATTATTTAAAATATAACAATAACCCCACCTGTTATTATTTGGTCTATTCATCAATTTGCTGTCATCATTTATTTGAACTTCTTACCACCATTATAATTAAGTGATACCTATAGCTACATTCAATTTTTATGTAAAATTTTTTGTACCGCTATATATTGGTCATTGACACTGATATATACCAAACAATAGTAACCATGCAAGTGCTGGTGT